GAGGAGGAGGACGAGGAGGAGGAGGAGGAGGAGGAGGAGGAAGGAGCCCCTGGGCTGTGGCTCCTCCGCGCGAGGAGGTAGCACGGGTCCCCCCTTCCCCAGCTCCGGTCGCTCCCGCAGCCCCGCCCCCTGGGCGACCCCCGGCCGATTCTGGCATCCGAGCCGCCTGGCCGTGGCCCCTGCCGGGCGCCAGTCGCCGGGGATCGGAGGCGTGAAGATCGGGTTCGGTCGGGCGTGTCGAACTCAAAAGAAGCTACAGAATAGACGAAAATCGTCCCCATCATATTTTTTGACTCTTTTTGAATGCTCTTTTGGCACAACTACAAAATAGACGAAAATCTGCCCCAGACTATTGTTTGATTATTTTTGAGTGCTCCTCCTGTAGAGGGACGAGCCCGACTTAACCTTGTCGCGGGCCAGCCTGCTGCAGGGCGCCGGCGTCCAGGCGCCAACGCCCCGGAGCTGGCCGGGCGCGTGACGGCGGGCCCGACAAGAGCAGGAGCTGCGCCAGGACATAGGAGCCCCCCGAGGGGACAGCAAGCTGCGGGCCTCGAGGGTGGCATCCTCGCGTCGCACAAGAATCGCGACGGGAAGTGCGACAACGCTGCCTTTTTTTAACGCATACAAAAAACAAACGAAGAAAAAGTATCAGCAAAAAAGTCGCGGATAACCCCCGGACAACCTGGACAACCCCTCCAAAATGGAGACCACATGCACCCCAGCATGAAGGTGTGGCCGACGCTCGAGCGAGAGCACTGGGCGGCCCTCGCCAGGCCCCGGGAGCGTCGAACCAAAAAAAATACGGCTCGGGGTGGGGTGCCGGTCCCCGGGGCGGCCGCGCTGCGCAAAAACAGCACGGCGTCGGGAGTGCAGCCACCACAGCTACTCCACTTCCAGTGCCACTTCGCCCCGCGCTCCCAGGCCTCGTGCTTCATCCGCGAGCAGGCAGCAGGCAGAGAGCAGAGCAGGCCAGGGCAGAGCAGGGCAGAGACCAGAGGCAGGCAGCAGGCAGAGAGCAGGGCAGAGGCCCAAGGCAGGCAGCAGGCAGAGAGCAGGCAGAGCCGGGCAAGCACGAGGCAGAGGCCACAGCAGGCAGGGAGCAGAGCAGGGCAGGCCGCCGAGCAGACCGAGGGCAGAACCGCGGCAGGGCGCGCGTGCGCGCCAGACTGGGCCCGGGAGCGGCAGCCGTCCGCGAGGCGGGCGCCGGAGGTGCTCGGGCACGCCCCCCCCCCCCCGAGGTCAAGGAATACAACCTGCCAGCCGAGAAGACGGCGAAATTGTAGTTTGGAGGGCCCGTCGTCCTCTTCCGGAGACGGCGCAGAGCACTCTTGGGCGTCTGCTGCGCTCCAAGGAGTTCAGGGGCCTCCACAGCGGAAAGATCCGGTGCGGCCCAGGGGGAGTGTGACTCTTGGGAAGTCACGAGCCTGTCACGAAAGGGTCGTCAGCACTTGCCCAGTCCCACCGCCCGTCTGTCACTGATCACTAGAGCCTAACTAGGAGGAGGAGGAGGAGGAGGAGGAGGAGGAGGAGGAGGAGGAGGTGAAGATGAGGAAGAGGAGGAGGGGAGGAGGAGGAGGAGGAGGAGGAGGAGGAGGGAGGAGGGGGAGGCGGAGGAGGAGGACGAGGAGGACGAGGAGGAGGAGGAGGAGGAGGGCCGCGCCTTGATGGCGGCCGCCAGGGCTGAGAGGTTGGTCTCCATCTCGCTCTTGAGCTTGGCGTACTCAGTGGCCTCCTTGGACCTCAACGCCGCGGCCTCAGCGGCCCTCGCGTTTGCTCGCTCCTCCTCCTCCTCCTCCTCCTCCACCTCCTCATCCACATCATCATCATCATCATCATCATCCTCATCCCCTCCTCCCTCCTCCTCCTCCTCCTTTCTCCTCCTCCTCTCCTCCTCCTCCTCCTCCACACCTCCACCTCCACCTCCACCTCCACCTCCCCCCCCCCGTCGCGCCCACAGCAACAAGAGGACTGCGAATGGGCCGACCCTAATTGAAACCAGCGGTTCATACTAGGTGCACGCGCTCAAGAAGTCTCCAGTGAGAGAACGAGAGAGAACGAGAGAGAGGGGGAAGAGAAAGAGAGAGGCACGACAAAAGGAGAAGGACTAATCCGCCGACCCTGTTGGCGCGCGTGAGGGGCTTGTCCGTTCGAGTCGTCGTCTCCGTCAGTCGTCGTCTCCGTCGTCCCCTTTCTCTGCACCCCCCTCCTCAAGCCTGTCAGCGAGAGAAAAATCAAGCAATGTATGTCGTAATCGAGTCGAAGGGAAGCCCCTCGACACTGATCCCCGCCCCGTCGGGGGGGGGAGTCCAGGGGGTCTCAGGAGGGGTCCCGGGGAGCGAGGTCCCGGGGCGGGGGGGGGGGATAGGAGGGTGGTAGGGGGCGGGTTATTAAAGGAGGGGAAGGGTACGGGAGGGTGGTAAGGTGGGTGGTAGGGGCGGTTAGGAGGGTGGTAGGGGAAGGGCACGGGGGGGGTCAGATCGCGTTCCCCCCTGGGGGTCAAAATACCAAGGCAGGCCACGAGTGCCCAAGGAGGCCTCCGAGACGGTCCAAGAGGGCGCCCAACTCGCCAAACGATCGGTGCAAAAAGCTCTCACGCCGTCCAGACTGCCCAGAGGCCTCCAACACGCCCCAAGAAGCCTCCCAGAGCAGCCCCCACGAGGGCCCTAAGAGGCGAGGAGGAGGAGGAGGAGGAGGAGGAGGAGGAGGAGGAGGAGGAAGAGGAGGAGGAGGAGGAGGAAGAGGAGGAGGAGGAGGAGGAGGAGGATGTAATTGATGCTCCTTCGGTTTTTGTAAGGACCAGGGCGCTCGCGCCGCTGCCTCGCCCCGCGGCTCCCAGAAGACAGCCCCCCGAGGCTCCCAAGATCGCCCCAAGACGGCCACCAAGAGGCCTCCGAGAGGGCCCCACACGGCCCAAGGGGAACCCAAGACAGCCCAGAACGCCTCCAGGACGGCCCAAGAGGCCCCGAAGACGGCTGCACGAGCGTGCCCAGACGGGGGACCCGGACGGACCTTTCGAGCCCTCGGCCCCAAGAGGCTCCCAGGAGGCTCCCAGGAAACCCCAAGATGCACCCAGGAGGCCCCAAGAGGCCTCAAGAGGCCAACAAGAGGGCCCCAGGAAGTCCGAAGAGACCCCCAAGAGGCTCCCAAGAGCCCCCCAGAGGTTCCCAAGAGGCGCCAAACTCCTCCCCAGAGGCCCCCGAGAGCCCTCCGAAACGACCCCAAGAGGCATCCCTGAGGACTCTGGCCCAAGTCAGCGTCGTCGTCGTCGCCGCCGCCGCCGCCACCGTCGTCGTCGTCCCCCTTCAGGATCGGCGGCACTGGCCGTAAGGCCTTCGCAATAACATTACTCTGGCACGACGGGCACGACGACGATGACGACGACGGCGGCAGCTACGAGGTGATGACGACGACGACGACGACGACGACGACGACGACGAGGACGACGGACGACGGACGACGGACGACGGACGACGGACGACGGACGACGGACGACGGACGACGACGACGACGACGACGACGACGACGACGACGACGACGGAGACGGACGACGACGACGACGACGACGACGACGACGACGACGACGACGACGACAACAACAACTTACGAACAGGCGGTAAGCAAATCCTTCCCTTTGCCCTCCTCTTCCAGATCGGACCTGCAGACTTCAGACATGTGTTCTGCGCGAGGTCTCATTGACAGGGCTGGCTGCTGACAAGCAAGTGCGACTGCTACGCAGAATGAAACAAACGCGACCGTTTGCACTTGGCATCGGGCCGCGCTGGGCGTTGGGCGGCGCGTATGCTGGGGGCACGCGCCAGAGGGCCTGAAAAAAAAACTTGCAGTGCCCAAGTGCCACGCCTGCTATAGCGCGGTGGGCAGCGTACCACCACCAAAAGAACGGAGCCCGAGGCGCCGAAACAAGCAAACCGCCTCAGACGTCCCCACAATCTGAGCGCGAATCATGGAGGGTCCCCACCCCTGGCGGTTCCCCCTTGGGGTGCCCAAATACCACGCCTGCTATATCGCGGTGAGCAATGTACCACCAAAAGAACGGAGCCACAGGGCCAAAACAAGCAAACCACCTGAGACGTCCCCACAATGTGAGCGCGAATCATGGAGTGTACCCCCCCCCAGGCGGCTCCCCCTTCGGGTGCTCGAATGCCACGCATGCTATACGGCGGTGAGCATTTGACAACCAACGGACAGGAGTGCGAGGATCTAAGTGTGTGTGAAACTTAATGCGAGTCAGTCTGAATATGAAAGAGTCCGAATGTGAGTGAGTCTGAGTTGTTGTGAATGTGCGTACTGGTAGGTATGAGTATGAGTGAGTCTGAGTGTGAGTAAGTCCTACTTTGAGTGAGTCTTAATATGGGTAAGTATGGGCATGAGTGAGTTAAGTGTGAGAGATCCTGAGTGTGAGTGAACTGCGCGTGATGACAACGTAACGGAGGGTGAGACCAAGAGGCGGGTGAGTGCGAGGCGGAGGCGTTCCAATAATAACAAGAACCCCATTTTACCCTCGAAACCCTCCCCGGACCCTCGGGGACCGCTCCAGGCACCCCCCCAGAGGAGAAGAACGAGGACCGGAAGAATCGAGGAGGCAGGAGGCCACAGAGCCGCGAAGATCACCGAATCCGGAAGCCCCCAGATCGGCGGCACTGGCCGGAGGCCATTACAATAACGAGAACCCCACTTTAGGACATGGGGAGTAAGAGATGCCCCTCCCCCCCAGCTCCTGCAGCGCCTTCTCCGTCCAACGGGCAAAAGGCAGGAGAGGGGCGAGGGAAGGCCCATAACATGTGCTGTTCCTGCCACTCCTCCACATCCAGCGGATAAGCCCCGGGAGTTCTCAAGATCACCCCAAGACGCGTTCAAGTGACCTTGCGCAGGATGCACTCAAGAGGCCAACATCTGTCCGAAATCTACAGGAAGTCCATGAGTCCCACCAGCCCTTGAGGGCGTAGGTGGTCTAGAGAGGCTCCCCTTCCAACCCCCTTCTTCCCCTTCGGGGAGGGATTATCACTGCTCCTTATCAGTATACACCCCCTCCCCCAGGCGACCGGGCCAACCCGAAACCATGCCGACACCATGCCGACCCGCCCCCCACAATCCCGGTCAAAAAACCATAAGCCGCACTGCCTTCATTTTTGGAGCATGCGCGGCCAACCCGATGCGGGCCCCCCCCCCCCACCATCCCTGTCAAAAAACAATGCAACGTACACTTTGGGGCCAAATCTTGGGTCATGTTCCTGAGGCCCGCGAGCACTTTGCATTGTTTTTGACAAGGACGGCGGGGGTGTCAGCATATTCCCTGCTGTGCGCAGGGCTACCATCCCTGACAAAAAAACAATACAACATGCACCTCGCGGCTAAATCTGGATCATGCGCGGCCATCCCGCGATCATTGTCAAGTGGTTTTTGTCAGGGACGGCGGGGGTAGTGGCGCGTGGTCTGCTGCGCGCAGGCCCACCAATCGCAATGATGGGCATCGGTTTTCGACAAGGATGGCGGGGGCCGACATGTTTCCCGATGTGTGCTTTCACGTGCGCAGGCGCACCTGACGCACTCCTGAGTGTGCGGCACACCTGGCGCACTCGGAGCACGTGGCGCATCTGGCGCACCAGGCGTGCCTGGCACGCTCGGGCCCCAGGGGTGCCTGGCGCGCGTGGCGCCCCTGGCACGTGTGGCGCACCTCGCCCAAGCGTCGCTCACCTGGGGTCGGCTTTGGTTCCCAGCAGCTGTCCATTCTAAGACGACCGTTGAACATGCTCAGGCTCGGGCGTTATGTGAGGGGAGGGCGGGTGGGAGTGAGCTAGACGGCGGGTGGGTAGCTTGACCTCTCCCCCTACCCCCTCCCCTGGACCTGGACGGGGGGGGACGCTGGTAGTTGGAGCGTTCAAGATGGCCCAAGACGGCTCCAAGAGCGCCTCGGGGAGCCCAAGATGAGCTCCAAGATGGCTCAAGATAGCTTAAGATGCCTCCAAGATGGCTCCGAAGATGCTCCAAAAGGCCCCAAAACCGCCCCAAGACGGCTCTAAGAGGTATCCGAGACCTCCAAGGAGGCCTCCAAGAGGAAAAAGTCCTTCAACAACCTGAGGGAAACCAATGATTGTTGCATCGTCGCCCGTTCGCTTTCGATAGCCTTCCGAGGCCGCAAGATGGTTTCAAAATGGCCCAAGAGGGCCCCAAGAGAGGCCCAAGAGAGCCCCAAGACGGCCCCAAGAGCGCCCAAGAGCGCCCCAAGAGCGCTCCAAGACGGGTTCAGGAGGGGATGTTGTGGGCTCCTGAGACGCAGCGCTAATTGAGGAACCCCTCTTTTTTATCGATGTCTTCCAAGATGGCACCCCAAAAGAGCCCCGAGAGGCGCCCAGACGGCCCCAAGAGGCGCCCAAGAGTCCTCCAAGAGGCTCCCAAGAGGCCACCAAGAGGCTTCAAGAGGATCCGAGGCACCCCAGATGCCCCCCAAGACGCTCCAGGAGACCTCAAAACAAAAAGAGAGACATCCGAGGATGCTCTGATCGTCATGTTATTCTTCTCCTCCTCCTCCTCCTCCTCCTCCTCCTCCTCTTCCTCCTCGTCCTCCTCCTCCTCCTCCTCCTCCTCCTCCTCCTCCTCATCATCATCATCATCATCATCATCATCATCATCCTCCTCCTCCTCCTCCTCCTCCTCCTCCTCATCATCATCATCATCATCATCATCAGCAGCAGCAGCAGCAGCAGCATCAGCATCAGCATCAGGCATCAGCATCAGCATCAGCACATCATCATGATCATCATGATCATCATGATCATCATCATCATCATCATCATCATCATCATCATCAGCAGCAGCAGCATCATCAGCATCAGCATGCATCAGCATCAGCATCAGCATCAGCATCAGCATCATCAGCATCAGCATCAGCATCAGCATCATCAGCATCAGCATCACATCATAATCATCATCATCATCACACCACCACCACCACCACCACCACCATCATCATCATCATCATCATCATCATCATCATCATCATCTTCATCATCATCATCATCATCATCATCATCATCATCATCCTTCTCCTCCTCCTCCTCCACCTCCTCCTTTTCCTCCTCCTGATCCGCCTCCTCTTCCTCCTTCCTCCTCCCTCCTCTCTCTCCCCCGCCTCCACCTCCGCCTCCTCCTCCTCCTCCTCCGAGGGGAGGGCAGGAGGGGGTACGGTACGAAGCGACAAGAATTTGTTCTTCTCGCTCGTTCGCTTCCGATGGCCTCCCGAGGCTCCAAGATAGCTCCAAGATAGCCCAAGAGAGACCCAAGGGGGGCCCAAACAGGGCTCCAGGACGGCCCAACGAGCGCCCAGGAGTGACCCAAGAGCGCCCCGAGAAGGCCGAGGAGGAGGGCGAGGAGGAGGAGGATGAGGTGGAGGAGGAGGAGGCGGAGGAGGAGGGCGAGGAGAGGCAGCGCCGGATCAGAATCCTCCCTCTTTGATCGATGTTCCCCAGGTTAGCCCCAAGAGGGCCTCCCGGGTCCCCAAGAGGGCCCCAAGAGGCCCTCAAGAGGGCTCCCAGCTGGCCCCAGGAGGCCTTCAGATAGCCCAAGATGGCCTCCAACTTTGATCGATGCCCTCCAAGACGGCAGACGGCCCCAAGGGGCCCCCCAAAGATCGCCCCCCAGACAACCCCCGGGCCTCCCAAGAGAAATTCAAGCGACCAGCTCTTTCAAGAGAACTCCCATCGATGCCTGCCTTCGTTTGATGGCTTCTTCTGTCTGGACATCGTTTCTGAATGGGCTGGTGGGGATGCGCGAAGCGTTTATAATTTCATGAACCTGTACGTCAGCGTTTCGACCCGAAACTCACGGGCCCCAAAACCGACTGCTGGGTACTATTACTGATACTACTAGCCCTCTACCGTAGCGTAGGCCCTGGGTGGAATGCCTCCAACCTGCTCTTTTTCCTCCCTCCCTCCTCATCCTACTCCTCCCCGACACTCCCCCATCGTCACCGACAATATCATCTGAACCACGATCAACACATCTACCATCATCAGCATCACCATCCTGCTCCCCGTCTTTCCACGCCTTCGTCGCAGAAGCAACGTGGCATGTGATTCCTTCTCCTGCCGTTGCTGCTCCTGCGAATGCTCCGACAACGACGATGACACCGACGACACCGACAGACCGACCGACCACGACGACGAAGGCGAGACCGACCGACCGACCGACAGACCGACGACACCAACGACGACGACGACGACGACGACGACGACGACGGCGACGACGACGACGACGACGACGACGACGACCACGACCACGACCACGACCACGACCGACGATGATAACGACCGACCCTCCGACCACGGCGACGACCCACGACAGAAGACGACGACAGAAGACGACGACGACGACGACGACGACGACGACGACCGACGGTGACGACAACGACGACGACGACGACGACGACGACGACCACGACGACGACCACGACCACGACCACGACCACGACCACGACCGACGATGACACCGACCGACCCTCCGACCACGACGACGACGACAGAAGACGACAGACGATGATGACGACGACGACGACAGAAGACGACAGACGATGATGATGATGATGATGATGATGATGATGATGATGATGACGACGACGACGACGACGACGACGACGACGACGACGACGACGACGACGACGACGACGACGACGACGACGGCGACGAACGACGACGACGACGACGACGACGACGACGACGACGACGACGACGACGACGACGACGACGACCGACCGACCGACCGACCGACCACGACACCGAGACGACCGAGACGACGGCGACGACCGAAGAGCGACCGAGGGCGGCCCACGATCGACGGCGCCGCGGGCCTTGGCGAGGGCGTCCTTGCCCTCGGCGCGGTCCGCCTGGGCGCAGCGAGGTCACGGGCGCCGGTGGTGGAGGAGGGGCACGGGAGGGAGGGGGAGGGGGTGGCGGCAGGGAGGGAGGCGGGCGAGGGGGAGGGGGGAAGGGGAAGGGGGGGGGGGAGGAGAGGGGGGGGAGGGAGGGGGAGGGGAGAAGGGGAGGGGAGGCACGGGGGGGGAGGGGGGGGAGGGGGGAAGGGCAAGCGCGGGGGGGGAAAGGCGGGGGGGGAGGGCAGAGAGAGAAAGGGGGGGAGGGGAGAGGGCGGGGGGGGAGAGGTGGGGGCGGGCCTGGGGCGGGACCCAAAATCGGCCGAGCAGCAGGACCGAGATGAATCGAGGTTCGAGGATGGAGATTCGACCACGGTGTTCTCGCTCCGCGCCTCGGGGTAATGCTGGGGGTCCCCTGGGCGCGGCGTGGCGTCGCAGCGGCTGGAATGATCCTCGAAGTCCTGAGCAAAATGCTCCCCTGGGCTGCCTCTTGGGGCCCTCCTCCCTCCTCTTCCTCCTCCTCCTTCCTCCTCCCCTCCTCCCCCCTCCTCCTCCTCCCTCCTTTCCCCCTCCGCCTACTCCTCCTCCTCTCCTCCTCCTCCTCCTCCTCCTCCTCCTCCTCCTCCTCCTCCTCCTCCTCCTAGTCGCTGTTTGAGGTGCCCAAGAGTCGACCGACCGCACCTCAGGTACAATCGTACACCAGCGATTCTGCGCCCACACCCGCAGGCCTCGGGGGCAGGGGAGACTGGGGGGCCCGCATGGCGTGCCCGTGCGCCTAGGCATGAGAATCTGCTACTACAACCCACAAGAGGCAGCGAGCATAGAACGACTGGAGGACATCAGCGCGGAATTGCACAGCTGGGACGTCATTCTCCTCAGTGGAACATGCAGATGGGCGGGAGCAGAAGCAGTACAGAGACACTACCTCCCTAACCACTACGTGTTACAATTCGGTGCTCGCAAGGGGAAGTGGATCAACAAAAGCTGTGGCTTAACGATCCTCATCAGCCAGAGAATCGACGAGCGCAGCTTACGAGAAACCTACACCCCACCAACCAGCCTCCAGGGACGGGTTGCAGGAATTCGCCTCTCGACTGGCCAACACGACTATGCTTTTTTTGTTTATTACTACGCCCCAACACACTTAGCGTACTACGTGCCATTAGCAGAAGCGATAACCAAATGGTTGGAGCAGTGTGTCGATCGAGTAGGCAGCCGTACGACGATTGTGATGGGCGGGGATGTGAACAGTGACTTTGGTTGCCAGAGAGAAACAGACGGGACTATTGTGCGGAGCAGAGGACCGACGGTAGGAGACAGGGAACCCAAAATAGAGAATGCCAACGGCAAGAGCCTTAGGACCCTGTGTCAGACCAGCGACCTCAGTATAGTCACCACCTACCACATCGCCGAACCTACATTCTACGGACATTCAGGATACAACAGTCGTATTGACCACATTGTAGTACCGACAGGGGCCCTGGGACTAGTAAAAAGGTGTGAGGTCCTCCATCGGTCAGGCAAAAGGCTCCAAAAGGTCAAAGTACGAGGGCACAGGGACCACCTCCCCATCGGCCTCACCCTCCTCGTCACCACCTCCAACACCTCCTTCCCCACGCGCGCCCGCCTACAACAGGGGCTGTGCAGGGACGGACTCATGGAGTGTCTGCGCAGCGGCCACAAGAGGGAGATGCTGCTCACCGAACTCGACAAGGAGGTGGAGGAGGTGGGTGGGGAGCAGTGGGAGAGAGCTCTGGGAGCGGCGACGCCAGACGAGACCTGGGACCTTCTGGGAGGAGCAGCACGATCGGCCATGCTCACGACGTTCGGAAAAAGTGGTACACCCGACGAGATCGACCAGCTTACGAAGCGAGCCAAGCAATACCGACTCGAGCTCCTTAGGAAGCGACGAACACTGCGACAGAGCCTAACACCAGAACAGTGCGCCGACGACTACGACTGGGTACAAAACGAGCTGAAAGAAGTCACGGCGGCGCTGAAGCAGGCCCGAGAAGGTGTAGAGAAACAAAGACGGGCGCTCCTGGTCGAACGCATATGGGAGGCCTACGAAAAACGGAACCTCGCCGAGATGCACCGACTACGCATCCAGTACCAGAGGAACGGACGCGGGCCAAAGAAAAGGTACTATCGATCTGCTCGAACCCATTGGCCTTGCGACTACTGGTATCAGGAGCTCGCCCATCCAGCTTTGGAAGGGGGACTAGGAGCAAGGCCTATCGACAGAAAGGCAGAGAGAGCAGCACACGAGGCCTTCGTCCAGGAGCACATCGACCGATTACCGACCGACCACGATCTTCTTTTTCAGGTCGAGGCCGACAAGCGAGCGATGCGTAGGTACTGCCAGCGAGCCAGTAAACGACGGGCCTGGCCACCATGGGGCATCCCGATCGAGATGACATGGTTGATGATCGATCCCACCCTCCATCTTCAGGACCCAGCAGAGCTCAGCAGACGACTAGAAGAAAAGCGAGTAGCAGCTGCAGAAAAAAGGGGGGACGAAGATGAGCTTGCACACTACACGACACTGGGGCGATGCAAGAAGGGGAGGGAACTGCTTCGACGGATGGGGTGGACGGAAGGTACCAGGTTGGGACGTGTGCCGACAGCGACTGATGGGACAGAAGGAGCCGCCTGGGAGCAGCAATCCTATGCAGTGGGGAGGGGCAGGTACGCAGGACTAGGTGCAGACACGATTGCGGACCACAGCAAAGGGTACGTGAAGTACCTAGACCAATTCCTTGCACAATGCAGAAGTTGTCAGGTCACCCCGTTGGACTGGCACCGATCACAAGCATTCCCAGCAGAGAAACACAACAACAAAGAAGGGATACTAGGGAAGCGTATACTACACGTCTACGATTCCTTTGGAATGGCTTGGCACTCAGGCATCCACGCACGTGGTTCACCCACAACGCAGGCGCCCTGGGCCCAAGGAGGCCTCCCACACCGCTGTCGGGAAAACGCCATCCTCTGCGTACAAGCGGCCCAATGGAGGGCTGCACAAGGGGGGGCGAGCACAATCACAACCAACTACGACGGCACCAACGCGTTTGCAGCCACCAACCGAGCTTTACTCAGAGCGGTTGCCTTCAGGCAAGCACACGAGCACGACCAGCGCTTCGCCATGGCAGCAATTGACCACTCCACCCTGACGCTCGAAGCTGCCGACGGCACAGTCGAAGCTGAGAGCACCACAGGCGCCCAAATGGGCTTCACTCTCTGCCCAAGGCAATTCAACGACGCACACAACCTGTACGTCACAAAATGGTGGGAACAAGGCCGCACGGACCCAGACCAGATTATCCACGACACGACCAACCCAGTCGCAGGCAACACTCACGACTTAGCTCTCAACACGTTCATGGACGACATCACCTATGTGCAGACAATCTTACCCGCAGCGACGGCTGGAGACATTGAACAACAACTCAACAACAACACAGAACGCCTTTCCCAAACAATAGCAGCAGGAGGATGAGGACTCAATAATGCCAAGACCAACCACCTACTATACCTAGTCGGGCAAGGCTGCTACGGGAAAACCAGACAACTCAGACGCAGCAAAACACTGCAAGGTCAGGCGCTAAGGGAGATGCGTGTACTTGGCCCCTACCTACCAGCTGGACAGGGCATCACTGGCGAGGTCGTGCGGCGCATCGCAGCCATCCGCGTTGCATGGCGACAGTGCGGGATCTTCTGGACCTCTAAGGTACCCCGACAAATAAAACGCATGATGTTCATGGCCTTCGTGGTAGGTGCGGCCCTTAGCGGATTGCCTGCGCTAGTTCTGACAGATGCCCACACAACAGCAATCGACAGCGTACTAGGCAAGTACCTACGGACGCTAGCGGGAGGAGCAATGTCGTGGACCAGAACAGATGGGACAGTGAGGTGCAACAACTTGCGACAGGTGTTCAGATACTGGAGACTTGAGCGCACATCCGTATCTTTGCTTGTGCGACGCCTACGGTGGTACCAGAACTGGTCAAGGCACCCTTGGGAGCACGGAGCAGTCATAGCAGCGGTGTTCGGAACATCCAGACTAGACGCGGCTCAGGACATACGGCGACTAGAGGGGCAGGGATTCGTGGGGCCCACCTCCACCCCGTGGGCACAGCAGTTTGCAGCCGACATGCATGTGATAGCAACAGTGGACGAGAGCATGGGATGGTATGCAGACAGGGAATCCGACCTCGCTATATTCGAACAGGGGAGTACGGAACAAAAAAACTGGTTACAAACAGACCCATCAATATTGTACAGTTACGAGCGAAACTGGGATGTGCTCACGACACGAGATGCGACGATACAGGAGGAGGAGGGCAGGGAGGAGGATACACTAAAACCTTACTGGTGCGATCATACGACGAAGGGCGAAAACGACACGGAACAGAGGTGTGGCATGCGCTTTGCGACATACGCAGCACTAGTTGGGCATCGCCGAGAGACCCACAACATCCGACCAGTGGTGGCGTCCGTAATCGTCAACAACCAGTGTCCCTGGTGCAAGAGCACATTTATTAATCGTAAGGTATGTGTCGACCACGCAGTCAGGGCTGTACACGGCCACGGTATCTGCCACCAAGACAGGTCGATGTGGTCCCACCCCATTTCCGACCCCAGCTCCCTTAGCTGCCAGATCTGTAACCACGAGGCTCAAACTCTTGAGGATTACCACGCACACATACGTGAGCACATAGCAGGGCCAGAGTCGATCAGAGCAGCACGGGGAGAAGGAGCACATGTCGCACGGGGGCCACGGCGACTGGCGCATCAGGGCCAGCACGAAGAGAGGAGGAGGCGCAGCCGAAGGGCAGCGACCAGCACAGCGCCCACACCTCGGCGGTGGCGGAGTCGGCTCGTCAGACACGCAGCAGTCGCAGCAGACGCCGCAGCAGCCGCCCCCCACCCAGCGCCGAGGAGGAGGAGGTCGAGGACCCCCAGGAGGCGGCCGTGGTGGGGGAGGAGGCGGCCAGGTGGAGCTTCGGGACCAG